TTCAACAAACACTAACCTTGACTGATTAGAGCTAGTGAAAGCAATTATATTTGTCAGCCAAATACTATCATTTTGACATGACCTTGAAAATTGTATTGAGACATTTTTCACATTGCATTGTAACACTGTGAGACTAATACTCCTATCTTGTTTATCAAAATTGTTTTATTTTTACAGGTTGTTCTTCAGCCAATTATAGAACCACATGAGGTTCACAAAGTCTTATATGCACACATGTCACGTTATAATGAAGAGTTTGGAAATGAAACACTAAATATAATGTGTCTGATTTCATTATTATGCATATTATACGATTGCATCGAATTATTAGTTTTCACCATGGGTAAGTAACATTTTAATTCCACTAAATGACATAAAACAAAATGTAACCTTTCAATCATTAATACATTGTTAGTAGATGTGTGTTTATTCAGCCATGCACACAAAAAATGCTGATATATGACATGTGTGATAGCTACGAAAAAGAAAAATTGATATTTACAGCCTATATGGTCCTCTGTTAGGTGTTTGTGTGCCAGACTATTGTTAATCATGATCAAATATTTGTCAGGTTTCTTTAAGTTTGTAAGTACATACAATCTGGACAGCCAATTTTTGAGTTCATGAAAAACATTAAACTTTTTGCCACCAGACATTCTCTCCCAATTTTTTCAACTTTTTTCTTGTATTCTTCAATATTTCTGGAAATAAACCTTAATTTTGGAGCCAACAGATAAAATTTAAATAAATTTTCAGTTTTTACTCAAAAAAATTGGCTAGTTTTGTCCCAATATTTTGAAGAAATGTGCAGACTATAAACAGGACTATTTTGTGATGAAAAGTGGTGGTGAAAAGGTTTGCCATGCAAGGGAAAATTAAAAAAACTCAGATGTTACATTGAAGCTTTAAGGATGTGGCTGAATAAAACATTGCAAATTCTGAACATTATCTGTGTGGCGGTATTCACTGTACATCATTTCAACTGTGATTTTATCACAGTGAGTGAGTGAGGTGTGGTATGATAGGTAGTGTGTCTATCTGCAATGGTGAGGCGATTGCCGTGGTTGTAATATACCGGTATCGCATGTACAATTTATTTTTTGAATATTTTTTTAAATATATTTCTAATCTTTGTAAGACTTGATATGCTAACTTGATTAAAAAGCTGTGACCTATGATATAATTTACAGCTTGTATTATTATATTATTACAGAGGCAATGTTATGCTGATTGGTACTATAGGCAGTCATTTAGCTACACTCTCCAAGCTGGCTTTGCATGTAGCTGATATGCCCATACACTACATTGACTCCTCCAAGACTAATACATTCTTTGATGGACTGAGGTCGGCAATACGTCAGACAGGAACAGAAGGCAAAATGCTGACCCTGGTCTTCACTGTAAGTTGTCACTAGCATTGAGTAAAATGAGACATTGCTGTGAGCAGAGTTAAGAATCTATAGTGCTTGTTTATGGATTCTTTTTCTGCTCAAGTTTCTGATTATTCACCTCTAACCTTGCATAAATTGCTTTACAACTAATAATTTGAATCATATCCTTCCTCCTACTCATATATTCAAAAGTTTATCCTAAATATATCACTGAATATCTTTTACCAAAACATTTTCTCCTTTTGAATTTGGAAAACGTTTTTCTGTTATTATTATTATTTATTATTAGTTTGATCTTGTTGATACTGGTAGTATTAGCAACTATCAATTAAAAAATAGTCTTTTCTATTTCCAATATTAATCTAACCATCCCTGGTCTTTGAGATCTTCACGTCTAAATCCTCATTTGTTTGGAATACTAAATAGATGTTGTAATTTGCTCATTGCTAATGGCTTGTACAGCGATGTCGGCTCAGCCATGATTTTATTTGGTGTGATATTAATGCATGATTTTGTATTAAATAGTTGTTATCAGCTGAAACTAAAGATAATTTGTTTTCTCTTTGCATGATCTTTGCTTCCTATCTTTTGTAAACTTAATCACTACAAACACTTCATTCCATGCTCACTCTTATTCTTGAAACCCAGTTTGAATTACATGTAACAATATTCATTCTTGATTTTTCAAAACAATCACTCATATACATTGTATCATCTTATCTTCCAATAATTATTATAAATGACATGGATAATTTTGAATAAATAAATTTGATATTCTGTCTCCATGAACCTAGGTATCATTTCTAATGCAGGATATAGATAACATATTCTGATATCTGGGCTTATATAATGTGCAATATACCAAACCTGTTAGTTCATAACACTTGAGAATATCTTCTCTCACATGTCATACCATCATTGACATACATCTCATTTATTTCTCATTTATTTGTCCGTCATCAGTTATGCGAGAAAACAATTAATTAGCTTCAGCTAATAATAGCCATTTTATATTTGCTGTTAGTATTGCACCCTATTTCTTGATTTGTTTATTGTTCAGTGTCAATCACTTTGTAATCTCCATGGTTATATCACCCATTGCTAGTTGTAATGCTTTTAAACCAAGTGACTTAGACATTTCACCTGTTGTGTACATCAGATCATACCTTACAATATTTACCACTTAGCTTGTATGTTTGGATCAACACACAATACTTATACTATATTTGTGGTCAATTGGTTTATATATAAACTGCGAAAATTTCAGAAAATATGTGAATAATTTGCACTATTTTTGGTGAAAGAAGGTGACAATGCTATTGTTAACAGCAATAATGCACTTAATGCAGCTGCAATATCACATTCTTTAATAGTAACTTGTGAAATCTTGCATGACCATGCATGGCAACCAGCTCAGACATGTAATTTAGGCGTAACACTAATCATCTGTCATTTAACTCTAATTTTGTGATTGTCTTTTAAATTCTGACATCAAAATGTTTAGTGTTTGAGATAAAACATGGTTACACGTAATCTCTAATTCTCTTATTGTTTAAAACAGTTTATAATAATGATTTCTGTAATTGCCCTGATTAAATTTATATTTAACTGCACCTTTAGTGTGTGTAAAGTGCACCCCGTGTCTTTAGGTAAGGTGTCCATGTTTCAAGTCATTATACTTGTTAGGGTCGTGACTTACGTGATGAACGCTACCTGGATGCCATAAACAGTTTGTTAGTTAGTGGAGAGTATCCACATCTTTTCTCCAATGATGAATTGGAAGGATTGCTGCAGGTAAGTGAAGTTCATTACATTTTAAATATATTATTTTGTATTTTGTATGAAATTTTAAACCATATAGCATAGTTCAACCTACTGCCAGTAGGTAATTTATATTTATTGCATAATTTATTTATTTATTTATTTATTTATTTATTTATTTATTTATTTATTTATTTATTTATTTATTTATTTATTTATTTATTTATTTATTTATTTATTTATTATAATTCGGTCTCTGTACGTCCGTCCGTCTGTGCGTCCGTCCGGAGTCATATCTCAAAATCCCTTGGACCGATTCCGTTCATTCTTTGCATGTGCCTAGTACTTTATGTGGGACATATGCACATGCAGTGGTTTAGCAATTCGATTCAAAATGGCCGACTGGCAGCCATCTTGTTTTTTGAAATGTTGTATTTTGGACATGCTTTGTCAGTTTTCATTCAAACCTGGTACATAGATTATACATGTTAGGATACATGTCCATGACGATTTATTTCACAATTGGTTCAAAGATGGCCGACTGGCAGCCATTTTGTTTTTTGAAAATGTCATATTTTGGACATGCTTTGTCAGTTTTCATTCAAATTTAGTACATAGATCATACATGTTAGGATACATGTCCTGACCGTCCGTGAGTTTCTGAGTCTGTCTGTCTGTCTGTCTGTGTGTCCGTCCATGCGTCAGTCTGTCCAGAGTCATATTTCAGAATCCTGTTGACCGATTCCCTTCATTCTTTGCATGTGCCTAGCACCTTATGAGGGACATATGCACATGCAGTGGTTCAGCAATT